GCCACACGGAATCCTGCTCTTGCCCCTTGCAGCCAAGTACCCTTGCAGAGAGCAGTGTCCCTGGAACACCAACCAGGAAGATCTCTGCCTCCGAATTTGATCGGCCGCTTAGACCCATTGTTATCAAAGATTCTGAGGGGACTGTGAGCTTCCTCTCTCACACAAGAAGGAACAGATGCCTCTAACCTCCCCACGGTTTGATACTGATGAAGGGGACTAGTGCTCGAGACTCTTGGAATTAGTGAAAGATATTTCTAGTCACTTGGATGTCACAGCCTTATGTCACAAAATTTTCTTGCATATCCATGGACTCTTTCGTCTCCGCCGACCGCTACTCCTTATTCCTCGTCAGTGAGGACAGCTCCAATGACAAGTTTCTTATCAGCCACCTCTTTGATGTTGCAGGAGGTTCAACACTGGAAGAAGCTTCGAATAACTGTATCTGCTTAGAGTGGAACAAAGGCATCGTGGGACACGTGACCGCTCTTGGCTTGCCCTTGAACATCAAGGACGCCTATGAGGTAAGTAAGCTCGTGGAACAGAGGCAGCGTGGGTCACGGAGTGTGGATGGGGCATTGGGCAGCCACTGGGAATCATAGCAATGTTTGAAACTGAGATTTCATCCTTTACAAACTTATTTAAAGTGGGAGCATTTGGTTAAGAACCTCCCCATCTTTTGAAAGTCAGTTTCCTCACTGGTGGTTGAGTCCAACCCAGGGGCCTTAGGGAGATCTTGTCTTGTTACTCTCCTAAGTGATAATTTGACATAGCTCATCTCACAGTTGTGTTCTCTTGTTTTTTCCTGATTACTATACATATCCTTATCCACATTATCACCACGTGAACTTCGGAGGATTTTACTGAGATTCTAAAATAATAGGTCCAAAAACTGTCTGAAAACCAAACCAACAGTCTTTTTAAATTCATTCATTCACTTAATCATACTCATTCATTTGACATCTCATTGATACCAAAGTCTGATTATCTTTCTTCCCACTCTTTCAGTTGTTTTACTAAATAAATTTATCTGTATCTTCAAAAAATAGAAATTTTTGCTCTACAATATTTAGATGGAAGGATTTGATCTTTCTTCCATTTTTGTTTCAGTAGTGGACAAGTCTTTATTATAGACTTAAAGATCACAATATATGTTTCTTCAGATTTCCTATGAAAATGATTGTTTTATTAATAGAGATTTTAAACAAAGCATCTTAATTGAGTGGCAGTATGTTTATGAATCATGTTCTAGCACCTTGAAAGAACAGTTGTTCTTGCTACTTATCATGTGGTACACTGTGTAGATTCCATAGTAACACAGAGAAGGTGAGGTTCCCCTGTGCAATTTGAGGGGTCATAGATGTTTTGCTCAGCCCTGTACTCCTGATGCCTAGTACAGTGCCTGGCACAGAGATAAGTCCTAATAAGTATTGATTAAGAGAAGATTGTGGTAAGAGAAATAAATAAGTAGAGTAGAAAGCAGGTCATAATAGAGCCAGGAAAATTGTGTTAGGCTCAGGGAAGTAGAAGGTCACATGTAACTGGGGAGATGGAGAGAGGTTTCTCTGAGGAAGCAATGATTGATACAGACCCTGGAGGATGGGTAAGATTTGAATAGATTGAGTTGTGTGCGTGGTGAGAGCCAGATGCAAAGAGAAATTTGAGGAAGAAATGGGAAGTTGGACCATGTGTTGCTTATGTGGATATATGTGGGGAATAGTGTAGATTTTGAGGAGCTACTGGAGATCACTGAGGTCTTGAATGCCCAGCTGAGGCGTATGTATTTGATTCAGAGCCATGAGGAATAATTGAAGATGGTTTGAAAGGGGGACTGGTGTGATTCAGACTGTGCTTTAGAAGGATGAATATTATGGTGGTCATAAAGTAAATTAGATGGAAAAATACTGGAAACTGGTAGGAGAGGCTATTTTAATAGGCTGAGGAAGTAAGGACCTAAAGCAGGGCACTGGCCTTCAAGATCAAAAGGAGGAAATGGATTAGAGAAGCAGTTGAATCCACTAGACTTGGAAGCTCGCAGGAGATGGAAGTGAGAAGAGACGTTGGAGATGCCTCAGGTTTTGAAGTTGGGTCAGTAAATAATGGTGACTGTTGAGGAATTCTGAGGGTAAGGATCTGGGGAGATATGTGATCGTTCACGTGCGTTAAATCCTGAGATAGCTCTCGGAATCCACTCTATACCAGCAGTGTTTTCAATTTTGGTTCTTCACGGAGCCGTCTCCATGACCTCTTTGAGCTCTGTAAATAAGGTCACACCGTAGCAGACTCCAAGAGGGGTATTAAGGGCACAGCTGAAGGATTGCTGCCAAATTTGCAGAATCCCCCTCCCATCTTAGGTGACACTGGTAGATTAGGACCATAAATATGCTTCAGTTTTGCTGAGAAAGCCTTCATTTGTCTGCATTGTCCTAAACTTCACCAGCACTGAGGATTTCGTCACCTATATATCAATTTTATTTATTTTCTTTACCATCTTTAGAGTTTTTGGGTTACCCAAAAAGTTTGTTTGAGTTTTTCATAAGATGTCACAAAAAGTCTGAAAGAGCTTTTTGACCAACCCAATAATATAGTGTAATTTTTGTTCTGCAGTGAGCAGTGGTTTAATTCTTGTCTAAAATAGGCTGGCAGAGTGAAGCCCCTTAGCCTGGTGGATTTCTCATGTTGCTACTCCACCCTTGACACCCTTGATCTGCATTTATAGTGGCCTTGCAGAAGTTCTTCCTGGCACAGAATTTCATTAGAAGTTGTGGGATTGATTGTGATGTAATTTACATTGATCTTTTTTTTTTTTTAAATCTTTTTTTTTTTCTTTTCTTTTTTTTTTTTTAATTAGTTGGAGGCTAATTACTTTACATCATCACAGCAGTTTCCGTCACACACCGAAATGAACCAGCCATGGATCCACATGCACTCCCCATCCCAGTCCCCCCTCCCACCCCCCTCTGGGTCTTCCCAGTGCACCAGGCCCAAGCACCCGTCCCATGCACCCAACCCGGGCCGGCCATCCGCTCCACCCTAGACAACATACATGCCTCAACGCTGCTACATTGATCTTAACAGTGAAAATCAGTTGGCTAGTGGATAATTCATTACTTGGCTTCCCTGGAGGCTCAGTGGCAAGGAACCTGCCTACCAATTCAGGAGATGTGGGTTCAATCCCTGGGTCAGGAAGATCCCCGAGAAGGGCATGGCAACCCACTCCAGTATTCTTGCCTGGGAGAGTCCATGGACAGAGGAACTGGATGTTCTAGTCCATGGGGCCGTGAAGAGTTGGCGCACCTGAGCATGCCTGCGGTTCCTTACTCAGCCTGCTCATAATTAGTAGTGAACAGAATACTGTCTCTTGGCCTTATGTGGAAATAGTCAAAATGTGAAAGCATGTTCTGTGTTTTCTTAGTCCTATACATTCCTTAGATATGTAATCTGTAAAAATGAAAAATGACACTGTATAGCAATATTTCTTCAGCTTACATGACCACAGGACACTTAGACATGGTGGTGTCGCAGTAGAAAACCAAGCGGTGGCCATGAAATAAAACAGTGTTCAGACTGAAGCTGAGAATAAAACAGTCTCTTAGATAAACTAATTTTAAGAAATGGTCAACATTTGATTCCCATTTTAAAACTTTGTAACAGAATGGTATACAGTTGGGAATTCAACTGTTTTATTGCTGATAAAATAATCCATTCACATATTTAAAACATGACATGATCCACAACTTAGACCAGTGAGTTTCAGTTATACCACAAATGTCAGTGATGTTCAATCAACACATCATCTCCTCTATCAGGCCATCTCTCATGCAACTTTCTTGAATGTGGCACAGCATTTATTCATAATAAGATATTGACCCAATAATCAGAACAGCCTATATAAATGTGTTGAAATTTTCCTAATACTTGAAAAACTAGACATCATCCAGTATTTAGATCAGATTGTGTATCACTCAGTGTTCTTCAGAGAAACAGAACCAGTAGAATATATAGAGATAAATAGGAAGTGATTTATTGTAGGAATAAGCTCACGGGTATGGAGGCTTAGAAGTTCCACAGTCTAGCTTCCATCTGCAAGTTGGAGAACCAGGATTAGTGTGGTTGATGGTATAACTCAGAGTCTGCAGGCCTGAGAATCAGGGGGGCCAGTGGTGTAACTCTGGTCTGTGTCTGAATCAAAAGCTTCAGAGCCAGAAGCCGTGGTGGACTGCACAAGGGCAAGCGAATATGGATATCTTAGTTCAAATAGCAAATTTGCCCTTCTTTCCTCTGCCTAACTCAAGGGATTAGATGATGCCCACTGGCATTGATAAAGATCTTCTTTGTTCATTCCACTGATTCAGATGTTCATCTCCTCTGGAGACATCCTCAGAGACACACCTAGAAATAACGCATTATCAGCCGTTTGGGCGTCCCTTAGCCTAGTCAAGTTGACACGTAAAATTAACTATCACAGATTGCCTTGAAGCCCTGGTTCTATGTCTGGTGGAAGCCTTATGCCTCCCAAGATTTCCTATGTCAAAGGATTTATATTGTCTGAATAACCCTCTTATTTCCTAAGTCAACAGGAATGCAAAACTTAGACGCACGTCTTGTTTCCATGGGGCAGCCTCTCCATGGACACCATGATTTTTAGGGAGAGAAATTGGAGGGTTCATAGGGAAGGATCACATCGCCACTCATGTGGTCTTTCCCTCGAGCTGCAGCTCTTCCCACCCCAACCTTATTCCCCCCCTTTTCAGTCGTTCTTCAGATAAATATGTCTTCACCATCTCTCATCCTGCAGGTCTCAGGCACTACTCAAGTGAATTTCTGATAAATAAAATTATTTCCAAAATGAATTTCAGAAGAAAGAAATACCAATAGCTGCTGTCCTAATTTTAATAAATTACCAATTTTGATGCATTTGTCGTGTTGTAATTGTGTCCTAGGGAATAAAGTTTGGGAACTGCTGTATCATTGTTAAATGCTCTAATAATCTTTAGATATTCCACTTTGTGGAAGAAGACCAGCATATAATTTGGCAAATCTAGTTGGTTATTTCCTTTTTTATTTTCTTTTATTTTTATCTTTATATGATTTCAAGCTTATAGAAAAGTTGCAAGACCAGTATCAGAAACTTGGGTATACCCTCTACCCAGATTCTCTAATTGTTTATATTTTGCCCCATCTGCTTTATTACTTTCTTTTTCTGTGTGTAATGCATGTAAGTAATGCATGCATATTGTTTTTTTCTGAGCCATTCGGAGACATTTTTACTATATGTATATTCTGATAAGAACAGATATTGCACTTGATCTTAGCTAAAAGGCTGAGAAGCAATTACTATATATATTGTCTAACAAGAATATAGTCTTACACAATTGTCATACTTTTATCAAAATCTGGAAGTTTTTTGATACAAAGCTCTTAGCTAACATTCCATAGTCAAATTTGGTCAGTTGTCCCATGAATGTCCTTTGCAGTGATTTTTTTCCCCCCTCTGTTCAAGGCTCTAACTCAGGGTTACATATTGCACGTATTTGTCCTATCTTGTTAGTTTCCATTAAATCTGGAGTAGTTTCTCAGTGCTGCTCTATCTTTCTTGACATGTCTTTTGGAAGGAGACAGGCCAGTTATCTTGCAGAATGTTTTTCTTGAATAGATTCAATTTAGGCGCTTTTGGCAGGAATACCACACATGTTTTTTCGACCTCGTTTGGCTTTACAGCTGACAATCAGTTCTTCACCTCTACACCAGCTGGGGTGTCCTACAGTCCAGCTCACTCCTGACACGAGTTGCCTGGAGTGAGTACAGATCCCATGGGTTAGGGGCCCTGTCATACAGTGTTGTCCCCACTTAAGATGCCAGCCGTGAGTAGGACCCCCAGGCTAGCCACACTAGTTTCGGGCTGACTGCAGACGCAGGGGCTCCCCACTTGGGTTTAGTGATTTGCTGGAATGACTCAGAACTCAGGAAAGCACCATATGTAAAATTATAGCTGTATGTTTATAGAGGATAACATTCAGAAATAGCCTAATAGAAGAGATACATAGGGCAAGGAGTGAGAGCTTGGGGACACAAAACTTCCTTGCCCACCCTCTATGGCAACACCATCCAGCACATAGATCACCTTTACCCAAAAGTTCCCTCAATCTGATTTTTTTTTTCATTATGTAGGGATGGTTGATTAAATCATTGACCATTGGTGACTGGACTTAGTCTCCAGGCCCCTCTTCCTTATCCAGTGGCAGGGCTGAACGTTCTGACCCTCTAATCACTCAGGTGGTTTTCCTGGCACCCAGACCCAGTCCTGAAGCTACTTGAAACCTTCTCACCCATGAGACTTTACATTAGCATGAGCTCAGGTATGCTTGGCAGGGGCTTGTTATGAATATAAAAAGACTATCAGGTAATTCCAAGGGTTTGAAGAGATCTAATGCCAGACCAAACATGTTTTTAAATTATACCACAGATCTTAGCATATGTTACCAGGTAGCACGCGATGTTACTTTACCACATTTTTGATGATATTAAACTTGATAAGTGGGCTCAAGTGGTGTCCACTAAGTATTTCACAATACAGGTACAATTTTCCCATTGAAATTAATAAATATCTTAAGAGAAGTTATTTTAATATTATGCAAATACTCTTTTCCTTATCATAGCACTTACCACTTTGGGCATCTACTAATTTTCCAACTTTATATCAATAATACCATCTGTATGTGTTAGCTACATTCCAATGTGAAGAAGAGCTTTGTCTTCTTTATTCATTTCATTATTTCTATCATTATGGACTCATGGATTTTTATTTTTTAATGAGTTATGCTGTGTTACTATCTTATTCATATTATCAGATTATATCGAATTTATTGGCTCAATTGATGCTATTGAACTGTGGTGTTGGAGAAGGCTCTTGAGAGTCCCTTGAACTGCAAGGAGATCCAACCAGTCCATTCTCAAGGATATCAGTCCTGGGTGTTCATTGGAAAGACTAAATGCTGAAGCTGAAACTCCAATACTTTGGCCACCTCAGGCCAAAGTGAAGAATTGACTCACTGGAAAAGACCCTGATGCTGGGAGGGATTGGGGGCAGGAGGATAAGGGGATGACAGAGGATGAGATGGTTGGATGGCATCACCAACTTGATGGACATGGGTTTGGGTGGACTCCGGGAGTTGGTGATGGACTGGGAGGCGTGGTGTGCTGCGGTTCACGGGGTCGCAACGAGTCAGAAATGACTGAGTGACTGAACTGAACTGAATTAGTGTTAGAAAAATTGTTTGATATAGGTGCCCTGGAATCGCATCTGATTTTCATCCTAGAGAAGGTGCAGCTCATGAGTGTTGCACATCTTCATGAGTGTTGCACAAATTAACATTTGTTTAACTATCGCTATAGGTAAAACATCCCAATCATCTACTTCCAAATACCCTGGCTTTAACTCTGATGTTGGAATTATATAGGAGTCAAAATTCAAGTCTTCATAATCTGTATATTCATAGCTTCAATATCTTTGGTTACTGATAGTTTATACCATAAGGCATGGAGTGTTAATTTTGTCTATTATGTATAAAATTTATAGGGATAGAGAGGCAATTAAGATGAAAATAACTGGTAAGATTGTTCGGATAGTCTACTTCTTGTGTGTCTATAGTGCGAGTGTGTGTGAGTTTTGTTTTCAGAATAAGTGAGATAATATAAACTACTAGTGAGCTGATTAAGAAAACAATTACTAATGTGTTATCATGAAGTGTAAGAATTCTTCTATGATGGCTGGTGTTGCATCTTGAAAGTCTAGTTGTAGAGGATATGCCATTGATATATACAGATTTTTCACCTATAGCTTAACTTCAACAAAGTGATACAATATTTTACTAATATCTCCTAAATAGAGAAAGAATCATGGTTATGATTTTGGCTTGAAATCAGTAGCTGGGGGTTCGATCCTTCCTACTTTATCTTAAAATGATGTGCATAGGTTCTTTGAGTGTGTGATATGGTTGGTCTACTGTTAAGACCTCGTCTTGATGCAAATGCTTCTCAGGTAATAGGAATTATTGGTATTACTGTGGTTAAAGAAATGAATGGGCCTATAGATGAAATAGTATGTCATATTGTGTATGCATCTGGGTAGTCAGGATAGTGTTGTGGTATCCCAAACAGGCCTAGAAAGTGTTTTTGAAAAAGGTTATGTTAACATCTACAAATACATTTATGAAGGGAATTTTTGCTCATGTCAGGTTGAGTATAGCCTGAGAATAATGAGATTCAGTGCAGAAAGCCCCCTATAATAGCAAATCTCCCACTGAAAGTACATAATGCAACTATGTAACTACATAGTGTATATCATGAAGAAAATATCTGAAGATGAATTAGCCAGGAAATTTCCTGTCAACCCTCTGACTGTGAAAAGAAATATAAAACCTAGGACTCACATTATAGCTGGGGGTCATTTAATGTTACTGTCATGAGGCATTGTTAATCAACTGAACACTTGTACTCTTGTTGGGCTGGTGATAATTATAGTGGGTGGTGTGAAATAGGCTTGTGTGTCAACATACGTCCTTATTGTGAATATACAATGTTCTCATACAATAAATCCTAAGAATCCAGTTGACACTATAGCTCAGACCATTCCCATACACCTGAAAGTTTCTTTTCCCCTAAGAGGTTACAATATGTGAAATCATCCTAAATCCTGGCAAAATCAAAATGTATATAATTCAGAGTGTTGGAAAAATCAGGTCAATATTGATACAGTATTGAGTCCTCTCCTCCTTCAGGATCAAGGAAAGCTGTATTTAGATTTCAGTCTGTTAATAGCATAGTAAAAATACCAGCTGCCAATACAGGTAGTGATAGTAATATGTCTGTGATTAGGACTAATCACATGAATGACAGTGTTTGATATTTGGATATGGCAGGGGTTTATATTGATAGTTGAAGTAATAAAATTGATAACACCTAAGATAGAAGAAACACCTGTTAGGTGTAGAGAAAAAATCGTAAAATCTACTTAAGCTCCAGCATGAGCTAGATTTCTGGCTAAAGGTGTAGACAGCTCAGCCTGTGCCATTGCCTGCTTCAACTATTGGTGATGCAAGCAGCAAGAGGAAAAGAGGGAGGGAGAAGTCAGAAGCTTATTTATTCAGGGAAAACTATGTCATTAGCTCCAGTTATTAGGGAAACTAATCAGTTACCAAAGCCTCCAATCATAATAGGGAGTACTAGAATGAAAATTATTACAAATGCATGAGCTGTTACAATTACATTATAAATTTGGTCATCTCCAAGTCGAGTTCCAGGTTGGCCCAACCCAGCACAGATTAACAACCTTGGGGCTGTGCCTACTGTTGCCAGCCAAAATCTTGGCCTTTTTTGCCCACTGACGCTGAACGAAAAATATGGAGACCGGGTTTGGAGGAAATTGAAAGGTGGCGTTTATTCTTAGCTGGCAGAGAGGAGAAACGCAGTAAGCTTCTGCCTCGAGAGCTGTACCCTGCCCCCCATGAGGAATCTAGGGGCTTATAGAAGGCAAGAGCTCACAGTCAGGAATCAGTGATGAGGAGCAAAGGGAATAGGATCTTGATTTCTTCCTTTTGCATTGTTTCAAAGACAGTAGGAGACTGACGTCAATAACCCAGTAATTGAGTCTGGCATTCGGTGACTCTGTGGCCTTCTTTCTGATACGTGAGTACAAGGGGAAGAGTGTTTTAAGGGTAAACTGCAGATAGGGGATATGTTTAGCGCAGAGTCAAAGGAAAATAGGTGCCAAGTGTAGCTTCTGCAGAGTTAAGGGACAGGAAACAAACCTAGTCACAGACATTCGGCGTTAGGAGCAGTTACAGGAAAAAGAAAAGTTAGGAATGTTCAGGCCTGCTCACTCTTCTCTTTATCTTCTTTGTTGTCAGAAAAGAAAGAAGAAAAACTCATTCCTCCTTTTTCCCTTTCACTACAACACTGCCTTCCCAGCTCAAGCACCAAATAGTAAGTATATAGTACCAATATATTGACGGTTAGTTGAAAATAATAGGCAGTTAATGAACATAGGCAGAATGGCTGAGTAAGCTTTAGACTGTAAATCTAAAGACAGGGGTTTAATCCACTTTTTCTTTTTACTAAATCCTGTGATGGATATTTCACATTGAATTGCAAATTCTAAGAACCTGGTTTAATTTGCTGGAACTTATACCGCTTTTTTTTTTTTTTTCTATTTTCCTTTAGCAATAGAAGTAGGTTGAAGTCAGTTGACCAGAGTATTTAGCCATTAACTAAAAGTTCATGGGGTTATACCCCACCAATCTAGAGAGGGTTTAGCTTGAAGTGGCTGGTTTTCATTCAATTGATGTAAGATCTAATCTTGCAAACCTTATGAACAGGAATTAAGTAAATTATACTTGCTTAGGGCTTTGAAGTATAAGGAACACCCCTGTAGTACAGGAATTTTATGGTAGTTCATACAATAAAGAATCTGCTTCCAGTGCAGGAGACCTGGGTTCATCCGTGCGTCGGGAAGACCCTCTGGAGAAGGGAATGGCAATCTACTCCAGGATTCTTGACTGGAGAATCCCATGGACAGAGGAGCCTGGTGGGTTACTGTCTGTGGGATCGCAAAGAGTCGGACATGACTGAGCGACTAAGCACACAGCATACAGGGCATTGAAGGCTCTTGGTCTATTTAACCTAAATTCCTATGCCAGCACTGAGACATAGGTGTTATGGGTAGAAATGTTGTGGCTATTGCAGTTATTGCGGATAGGAGTGTCATTTGTTTCATAGTGTAGCATCGTCATGTTTTCTCTGTTATTTGCGGAGAGGAATAAGGTGAGTGCTGTGGAGTGTGTGAGTCATATGTTGAAGTACAGTAGTGCCATGATTGCTATTACTGTTGGTAAAATGATGCTCTTTTTGGTTGTTGTTATTTTTTCAATAATTATTCACTTGGGTCTGAATCCTAATAGTGGTGGAAGGCCTCCTATTGATAATAGAATGATGAGGATAAGAGTTGTTATGATAGGTATTTTGTTGCATGTATGTGATAGTGATAATGTGGTGGTGGTGGAGTTGGTTATGGACATTCTGAATATGGTGGAAGTTAAGATAATATAACCAGGTTTAGTGGAGAAGGCAATGGCAACCCACTCCAGTACTCTTGCCTGGAAACTCCCGTGAATGGAGGAGCCTGGTAGGCTGTGGTCCATGAGGTCTCGAAGAATCAGACACGACGGAGTGACTTCACTTTCACTTTTCACTTGCGTGCATTGGAGAAGGAAATGGCAAGCCACTCCAGTGTTCTTGCCTGGAGAATCCCAGAGATGGCAGAGCCTGGTGGGCTGCCGTCTATGGGATTGTAGAGTCAGACACGACTGAAGCAACTTAGCAGCAGCAGCAGCAACCAGGTTTAGGACTGTCACAGTGGGATTACATAACAGGATGGCAGTTATACATCCTATGTGGGCCATTGATGACTAGGCTGTGATTTTTCATACTGCGTCTGATTTCACCATTCTCAGCCTCCAATTATAGTGGATAATGTGGATATAGCTTGTATCAACTTGGGCTTTCCTGGTGGCTCAGATGATAGAGAATCTGCCTGCAATGTGGAAGAGCTGGGTTTGATCCCTGGCTTGGGAAGATCCCCTGGAGGAGAGCATGGCAACCAACTCCAGTATTCTTGCCTGGAGAATGCCCATAGCAGAAGAGCCTGGTGGGATACAGTCCCTGGGGTCAAAAAGAGTCAGACACGACTGAGCGACTCCGCACAGCACACAGTACACTATTTAATTAATTGATGGTGAAGTTTGGTATAGCACAGACATGGGTGCAAGTTTTTGTCATGTTCATTGGGTTAAGCCAGATGTTAGTAAAATGCCTTGTATACCTTCTGGTACTCCAATGTGAAATGCAGATATTCCCAGTTTTATTCATAAGGCTATTGTTATTAATATGGATGCTGTTGGATTGAATTGTTTTGTGACAGTCCATTGGCCTGAGAATAATAAATAATGACAGTTACCATGAGTAATATTGATGTGGTGGATTGTGTCAAGTATTTAGTTGATGCTTCTGTTGCTCCTGGGTTGAATTATTTATTATGATGGGGATCATGCCTAATATATTTATTTCAAAGCCAAATCAGATAAGTAATCAATGGAGATAATTATAATGACAATAAATCCTGAGAAAATAGTTGATAGGATAATGATAAAGATGATGGGACTTATTAGTACAGAAAGGGTATAAATGAACATTTTTGGGGTACAGGCCCAATAGTTTAATTAACTGACCTTACTTATAGAATGTGGTATAATTTGGTAGCACAAAGAACTTTGAATTCTTAGCAGTATGTTCAATTCCTATAATTCTAGATATAAGAGGATTTAAATCTCTATTATTTACTCTCTCAAAGTAACTCTAGTCAGACACATTTCTTATGCTTGTGGAAGAGTACTTGATAATAGGATGGATGAGGATATGTGTCATATGCATAGGGCTTAGTGTTAGGGATAGAAAATATTTGAGAGTAAATGTATTCATTGGTCATATTGGAATCAGGGGTATAATGCTCAAATTCATAGGAAGGAGACTGTTAATAATAGTGATTTGGTTCAGTTCAGTTGCTCAGTCCTGTCTGACTCTCTGTGACCCTGTGGACTACAGCTTTCCAGGCCTCCCTGCCCATTACCAACTCCTGGAGTCTACCCAAACTCATGTCCATTGAGTTGGTGATGCCATCTCACCATCTCATCCTCTGTGGTCCCCTTTTCCTCCCGCCTTCAATCTGTCCCAGCATCAGGGTCTGTTCAAATAAGTCAGCTCTTCATATCAGGTGGCCAAAGTATTGGAGTTTCAGCTTTAGCATCAGTCCTTCCAATGTATATTCAGGACTGATTTCCTTTAGCATGGACTGGTTGGATCTCCTTGGAGTCCGAGAGATTCTCAAGACGTCTCCAACACCACAGTTCAAAAGCATCAGTTCTTCAGCACTCAGCATTCTTTATAGTCCAACTTTCACATCTATACATGACTACTGGAAAAATCATAGCTTTCACTAGACAGATCTTTGTTGACAAATAATGTCTGTGCTTTTTAATATGCTGTCTAGGTTAGTCATAACTTTTCTTCCAAGGAGCAAGCCTATTTTAATTTCATGACTGGAGTCCCCATCTGCAGTGGTTTTCATTTCAGTTCAGTTCAGTTGCTTAGTCGTGTCTGACTCTTTGTGACCCCATGAACCGCAGCGCACCAGGTCTCCCTGTCTATCACCAACTCCCAGAGTTTACCCAAACCCATGTCCATCGAGTCGGTGATGCCATCCAACCATCTCATTATCTGTCATCCCCTTCTCTTCCTGCCCTCAGTTTTTCCCCACATCAGGGTCTTTTCAAATGAGTCAGCTCTTCACATCAGGTGGCCAAAGTATTGGAGTTTCAGCTTCATCATCAGTCCTTCCAAGGAACAATCAGGGCTGATCTCATTTAGGATGGACTGGTTGGATCTCATTGCAGTCCAAGGGACTCTCAAGAGTCTTCTCCAACACCACACTTCAAAAGCATCCATTCTTTGGCACTGAGCTTTCCTTATAGTCCAACTCTCACATCCATACATGACTACTGGAAAAACCATAGCTTTTACTAGACAGACCTTTGTTGACAAAGGAATGTCACTGCTTTTTAATACGCTGTCTAGGTGTGTCATAGTTTTTTTTTTTTTTCCAAATAGTAAGCATCTTTTAATTTCATGGCTCCAGTCACCATCTGTAATGATTTTGGAGCCCCCCAAAATAGTCTGTCACTGTTTCCATTGTTTCCCCATCTATTTGCCGTGAAGTGATGGGACCAGATGCCATGATCTTAATTTTCTGAATGTTGAGTTTTAAGCCAACTTTTTCACTCTCCTCTTTCACTTTCATCAAGAGGCTCTTTAGTTCTTCTTCACTTTCTGCCATAAGGGTGGTGTCATCTGCATATCTGAGGTTATTGATATTTCTCCCGGCAATCTTGATTCCAGCTTGTGCTTCATCCAGCCCAGCGTTTCTCATGATGTACTCTGCATATAAGTTAAATAAGCAGGGTGACAATATACAGCCTTGACGTACTCCTTTTCCTATTTGGAACCAGTCTGTTGTTCCATGTCCAGTTCTAACTGTTGCTTCCTGACCTGCATACAGGTTTCTCAAGAGGCAGGTCAGGTGGTCTGGTATTCCCATCTCTTTCAGAATTTTCCACAGTTTATTGTGATCCACACAGTCAAAGGCTTTGGCATAGTCAACGAAACAGAAATAGATGTTTTTCTGGAACTCTCTTGCTTTTTCGATGATCCAGTGGATGTTGAACAATTTGATCTCTGGTCCGTCTGCCTTTTCTAAAACCAGCTTGAACATCTGGAAGTTCACAGTTCATGTATTGCTGAAGCCTGGCGGAGCCCCCCTCCCCCAAATAAATTCTGTCACTGTATCCATTGTTTTCCCATCTATTTGCCATGAAGTGATGGCACTAGATGCCACGACCTTAGTTTTCTGATTGTTGAGTTTTAAGTACACTTTTTTCCAAAAAGGGTGTTTGCTTTTACCAGTACATTCACTTGGCAGAACTCTATTAACCTTTTCCTTGCTTCATTCCATACTCCAAGGCCCAATTTGCCTGTTACTCCAGGTGTTTCTTGACTTCCTTCTTTTGCATTCCAGTCTTGCAGGTCTTCATAGAACTGTTCAACTTCAGCTTCTTCAGCAATGATCAGCCTGGTCAGGGCATAGCCTTGGATTATTGAATGGTTTGCCTTGGACATGAACAGAAATCCTTCTGTCGTTTTGAGACTGCATCCAAGTACTGCATTTCAGACTCTCTTGTGGACTATGATAGCTACTCCATTTCTTCTAAGGGATTCTTGCCCACAGTAGTAGATATATTGGTTTCAATAATACATGAACTGTGAACATCAAGATGTTCAAGCTGGTTTTAGAAAAGGCAGAGGAACCAGAGATCAGA